GAGAAAGAATATTGAAAGCAAAACTTAATAGCTTTCAAGGAAAACACTATGTCTTCAGTGAGAATTTCTGCAGTGGAAACTGGTGCAAAGGACAGCAAAATTACATCCAGTCTAAGGATGTTGCTATGTTATTTTACCTGAAATAGATATTTTTTCTAAAGGTTGGAAAATCAAACTATCCAGAGAATGGTAGTCTCAGTCATAATCTTATATACTGGGAGAAAAGATAGGAAAAGTATTATTCTTTGTTAACTGGTTTAGGGACTAGTAGTTTTACACGGGTCTTACCCAGTACTGCATTACTTTGCTACGTAGTATGATGGCTTATAAAATGCCAACAAGCTCACCTTGCTGAGGTAGAACAGATTTATGGCTCAAACAGAAACAGTTTCTGTTTATCAGCTATTGCTGTTCAGGGTTCATCTCTCACAAATGAACTGTGACTGGAGCGTCGCTACAAACGGGGACCCGTGCAGAGGTAGCTCTGAGCTGCTGGGCTCCTCTGACATTTAGAAGGAGCAGCTTCAGCCAGGTAGCATTTCATTAAGTACTCTTGGACTCTCTTCTTTCCCTCTATTTCTTCTTCACTAATGAAGAAAAACCATAATGAAAGCAAGGTAGGTTTTTTGTTTTTTTTTTTACAGTTAAAACCCAGTACAAATAGCATTAATAGATCAGACTTCTGCTCAACCTGAGAACATCAAATGAAACCAAGAAGGAGCCAGTTCCAAATGGAAGAGGAAGAGATAGGTCTCCAGCTGTTTCATGAAAAGTAGTTGTGTTACTGAACTTCCTGCCACATGATGCTATGCATGCTAAGTTTAAATGGATTAAAAAGGAAGATTGGATAACAGAAAACAAATAGAAAACAAATCAAATTTTAATTCAAAATCCAGAATATAAACGCAGACCGTGGACCCCTAAGCTGAAAACGTATGGGAACTGGAAACATTTGAGGCAAGGATCATATGTGCTTGTTCTGTTCCTGTATTCATTCCTCAGCTGAGACAGAGACAGGATATAGGCTTGATAGACCTTTGGTGGTCTCCAATCAGTCTTGAGTATGTAACCATTCTAAAGTCAATAATTTTGTGTTAAGACCATTTATTTTTCCTGGTGAAAAGAAACATATCTTTCTGTTTAGACTGCATAAAGAAGCAGTGACTAGTTTTTAAATCCTGGAATTGATTACTTTTCACTCCAGTCATACACATCCATCCTTGTGGTTCACTCGAGGCATGTGCTTAGAAACGCTCTCTGGCGCGGAGAGATGACCTGTTGCATCTTTCGTTCAATTTTTGTTCTCATACCAAACCACAACAGCGCCCTGAGAACATTAACTGTACCAACAGAAGTTCTGTTCGACAGCATAGCGTGGGTAAAGCGGCAGTTTGTGTGGCCTTTCAGCGAGAAGTATAAACAAATACAGTCTTGTCAGAATGGCTTATCAGCCCTGCTCTAGGGAGAACAAGATAACAAGAAGTGCTAAAGACTCCCGTGGGAGCTTGGAGCCACAAAGCTAGCACAAGGTCACCTTCCCCTTGTCCTGACTCCGAAGCTACACAGCTCTCAGTGGACTCAAGGGCTCGGACCAAGATATCGTGCATGTAACAGGCATTCTATAACGTGAAAGAAAAATCTTTGGGTATTGAAAAAAGATGCATCTTTTACTGTGGATTCGAAATCTGGTCATTTTTGGATTATTCTGCGACTGAAATAGGGGAAGGAGGGAGCAAATGAAGGCACGGAACAGAGAAACAGCCTTCACCAGGAGCAGAAGTACTCTTGCATGGTCTAGAGACAGATGTCCTTGATTTGGTTGAAGTAAGACTCTCACAAAATCATAGCCTGAACACACGTAGTATGTTTTTTGCTGCTCCTTTAATTCTGTTGAAAACTACCTCAATACTCAACAAGGCTCATTGAACTTTAATGGGGTTCCCCGCAGAGTGAGATGTTACACAACACATGCAGCATCTGACCCAAAGAGAAGAATTGCATAAAGAGCTATTACTCAACCTGAGAAAAAATGTCAGTGAGTTCAGTATACAGCTTCCTTTGTCTCCAGCTAAGGACAGTGATGCTGCATAAATATTTAAGGAGGAAGCTGTGAACCATGTTCTGCTCAACTCCATGCACTTGTACAAACTAGGGGAAGGGATGCTCATTTCCTGGGCCCTTTGGAAGAGATACCGAGGGTGGCAAGTGCTTGTTTGAAGCTTTGATTTCTTACAGTCTGAACGAGTTCTTTGTGAATTACTATCCCGGGCACTCGGTAAAAACCTTCTTATGTGGCTGATGCCTGTTGAAATGCATCTAGTTCAGCTGACACACTGAGCTTTCTTGCAAGACTTTACAAAGCCAAGAAAATGGAATGATAAGTTCAGCCAAATAAAACTACTATTGAAAAAAAAAAATAAATGAAAAGCCTTGACCGTGCCGAATATTTCATACCTCAGTCAGGTGGGCACAAAGTGATAGGACATAACATAATGAAGGGGTCTAAATGGATCAGTAATCTGCACGTCCCGTCTTTACAGCAATATGACACTCCCTTGCACTCAGCTTGCTTACTCAGTCGGTCATCACTAGCACAAGAGAAAAAAAAGGGGTATTTTGTTCCTTTGGACAAAATTGTTTATCAGCATGGTGAGTTTGATCCTAAAGGATCAAATTTTTCTGGATTTCCAATTTCCCTACTTTACTGGGAAGTTTTAATAAATTCTGTTTTATAATTTCAGTGATCCATCTATGAGCTGTTGGCTACTTAACTGTTTTCCTATAAAATTTTAAAGCAGAGAGGAAGCATTTAAATGTTTTTTAAGCACAGTCACTAGAGATTACTACTACTTCTGACAGAATTTTATTCCCATCAAATTTAATTGAAAATATGCTTTACCAATCTGTTTGGATCATAAGCTGCACTCTTGGGATACAACAATCTTCAACATGAATTACTATTATAGTAAGCATACCACATTTCCTTCAGTGAAATTAAAAACTCAGAGACCAACATCTATTAGTTAACCCTGAAACTTCAAGTTTAATTTTACAACTTCAGATCAAAACATTGGAGAACACAAATGGCTGCCTAAGGTCATACAAAAAACTTCAAGTGACTTTTGCGGGTACCTTAGTGTTATATGGATCAACGGCAACAGGAAACATCATTTCATGCTAAACCAGTTATCTGAAGACATTTCCATTTGTCTACCCTTAAAAATACTTCTCAGTAGTAGCAGCTTATATGGCACAATTAAGATAGAAGCTAAATATGGGTAGAATTATGGCCCCAAACACATGCAGTTAATGCCAACTGTATCTTTTTTTATAAAATTTAATGAGCATGAAGGCAGCCAGAACTTCTACTTAGGGAAAACACAGCATTTTGCATTCAGTTTTCAGTTTTGAAAGATGAAGTCAAATTGAAGTGTCTTAATGTTTAACACACAAATTCTGTATCCCACGAAGAGAGTGTATTTAGCCATGACCAATACTAAAACATGACTTTTTTGACACAAAATACCTTAATATGAACTGACCATTGCTAACATGTTTTCATAGTACAAAGTATTTTAAGATGTCAAAGGGGCAGTATGAAAATTGAAAGGTGGTTTTAAGAACAGTGAGAAAATCCAGAGATGTAGCTGATGTTATTTTGCAGGCTTTTTAGCTCCATTGCACTGTGTAGTCTTTGCCTAATTCAAGTTGAAGCTGGGTGATTAACAGGACCTTTGGAAGAAAACAAACAAAACAAGCAGTGAGTAACTCTGCCCTTCAGGATACACTCCTTTTCTGCACATGATAGTGAATATAGTGGATTCTCATTTTAGATTACAAAAATTTATTCCTCTTTCC